TTACTTTACCAAAAAAGGTCCATTTATTCAAAGCTATGTTTTTTCCAGTAGTCATGTATGGATGTGAGAGCTGGACTATAAAGAAAGCTTCTTCAGTAAGAATTGATACTTTTGAACTGTGGTGTTGGAAAATATTCTTGAGAGTCCCTTGGACAGCAAGGAGATCTAACCAGTCAATCCTAAAGGGAATCAGTCCTGAATATTCATTGGAAGGACTGATGCTGAATATTCATTGGAAGGACTGATGCCGAAGCTGAAACTCTAATACTTTGACCACCTGATGTGAAGAACCAACTCATTGGAAAAAAAAGACCCTGATGCTGGGAAAGATTGAAGGCGGGAGGAGAAGAGGACAACAGAGGATGAGATGGTTGGATGGCATCACTGACGCGATGGACATAAGTGTGAGTAGGCTCCAGGAGTTGGTGATGGACAGGAAAGCCTGGTGTGCTGCAGTCCATGGGGTTGCAAAGAGTTGGACATGACTGAGCAACTGAACTGAGTTGGATTTTACCCTGAAACTCATGGGTGATTAACAAAGAATAAATATTAGTATTAGCTATCAGGTTAACTGATTGAAAGAGAAAGGTCTTATCATCCCAATAGCTTCAGAAAACACATTTATTAATATTCAATATATCAATTATGATATAAGAATGCACTACTAATAGCAAGGAACTTCTTTAATGTGATAAAAGTATCTACCAAAACCACCTAATAAAACATCATTCTTCATAGTATAAAAGCATTATTTGCTTATGCCATTTTACCACATGCACATACAGCCTTTTCAAAATTTGTAACACTCTTTAAGTATGTAAAATCCCATCAATTAATTTTATGCTGGAAACAAAAAGAATGTCATTACTTGTTTTTTTCAGAAACCCAGTTTATAGATCCCAGGTGAACAATGGAAAAAATCACTGAATAAATTAAATATTTTTTTACCCTTAGAGAACTGACCAACATGGGTTCATTCAGTGGGTTCATTCAACTGAAATCAACTAGGTTCAAAAGCTGAGTTCTTCACCTTTAGTTAGAACATAGGCTCCTATGATAATCAGATAGAAAAAATAAACCACCTCCCCAGAAGATAAACAAATGCTCCCATTAGTGCATGCAGTTCCAAGAGTTATCTAAGTAGACATGTCAGCACATGCCTGCCAAGCCCAGTGATTTTTTCCAGGGGCCCTGCCCAGCCAATTCCAGCCCACACCTTGAATTCACCACAAGATACCCTGTTCTGATTGGTCACACAGTTACCTCCATGGTCATATGCCCTGTGTATCAGTCTGAGCTGGTCTTTGCTGTGCCTGGTACTATGACATAACATGGGGACAAAGAGTGAACAAGACTGTCACAAAGGGCGCTTACCTAGGTAGTGTGCTCAATGCACACAGACACCTCCAAAGGCATCGGAAAGGCAGAATTAGGTGGGATCCAGAGCCTCTGTAGGGATGGGTGGGCTTCCTAGAGGAGGTGACACCGATGCAGTTCCACGGACAGAGCAGAATTTGCCCAAGGAGAGAAGGAGAGAGGGCATGTAGGCTGTGAGAATGGTTCATCTTATCAAAATTATCATTGCTGAGTATGTTTGTCATTTCTCGGTTGCAGGCACAGTGTCTAAATCAACCAATTTTTATTACTGCTAATAAGGAAGTGATCAGATCACAGGCCAAGTTAGGGATCCTGTAATTCTAGGACCAAGGTGCCACCCTGGACAGCTCCGCAGGGACCTGAAGGATGTGCAGGATGTCTGGGGAAAGCCACAGGGCTTTCTGGTATTACAGTGACCTGTCTTGAATTCGTTAGGGTACAGTCCTGAGATTAAAAACATTTACAGAGGTCACACTGGCAATGCATGACATCAACCATTCGGGGCCATTCAGCACATTCACAGTGCGGTGCCACCACCTCCTCTGGTTGCAGCACACTCCCCTTCCACCAGAGGGCACTCCTGAGCCCATGGGCAGCTCCTCCCCACTCTCTCCTCTCCCAGCCCCTGGCCACCACTCATGGACATTCTGTCTTCGTGGAATTTCCCCTTCCAGATGTTTCATATAAGTGGAATCATGTAATGCGTGCTCTCTTGTGTCTGAATTCTTTCATTCATGCATTTTAAAGTTAACCTCTCTTATGCCACGTATTTCACATCTGTGATAACTGAAGAAGCAACTATTGTATGGCTACATCACTATCTGTTTATCCATCCATCCACTGCTTTGCCTTGTGTCTGGCTTTTAGCTATCGTGAATAGTGGTGCTATGAACACGCAGGCGTATGTCTTTATTTAAGAATTTGTGTTCAGTTCGCTTAGACATCTATCTGGCAGTGCAATTGCTGGTAATTCTGTGCTCAATGACTGAGGAGCTGCCAAACTGTTCCACACAGTGGCTGCCTTGTTACATCCTCACCAGCAACAGTTGAGGTTTCCACATTTCCTATACATCCTCACCAACACTTCCGTTTTCCCTTTTTAAAAAATAACCATCCCAGTGGTTGTGATGTAGTAAAATTTCTGGGATTTTGACTTTGTGCTCCCAATGGTAGTTAATAATCTGTGAGAATTCAGCCAGAGGCAGAGAGGGCAAGTGAAGAGTGTGATTGGGAACCTGGTCTACCAGGTCCCGGAGGCTTCTTTGGGCTCCCGAGACACCTGTTCTCTCTACTGTGTACACAGCTGCCTAGAAGGCATCCATAGAATGTGACTGATGTGCGGGCCCCAGGTGGGTTATTTAAACCTGCTCAGCCTCAGTTGCCTGATCTGTAGAATGAGGGTTAATAATTATGTCTTTCCCTTCCTATAGGAGCCCAGGGCAGACCAGACCCTGATCTGTGACCTGAGGGGCTTGGGGCCTGAACCTGCAGGTCAGAGTCCCGGTGTCACTGGGGGAAGAGAACATGTGACCTTGCCCATCACACACCTGATCCTTAGCAAACCCTCTAGAAATGTTCACTCACATGAGCTCATATGAGTTTAAGTAGTAGCCAAAAAGGCAAGCATTATAGAGTAAGCACAAGTTATGAACTGTGTTGTTTCTTAGCAAAAGGAGACATGAGTTCAAGTTGTAGCTGAAAAATAAGTAAAAGGCCGAGAGTTTGCTGACTGAATCTTCACCTTTTTCCTTCTAATTATGTTTAAATGCCTCCTTTTCCACCTGCTGTGTGAGGAGCCACTGAGTTGTAAATGTTCAGGACATTACATCCTGGATTCTAACTGGGGCTGGGGGGTGGGTCTGCCCAGATGTCCGAGCTCAGGGCCCTCCAACCCTACCTTCCCCACCCACCACACAGATGCATGTTACCTATCTATATCTGTCATCTATCTATCTATATCAGCTATCTATCTGTAGTGCATCGTCCAACTAACTAGCTATCATCTGTCTACAAAGAAAATCAAGGATATTCACTGATACATGCAGTTCCAATCTCTGACTCCACAGGGTTTCTTCTGGTTTCCTCTTTCCTGGACCAGGGACTGCCTTCTCTAACAGGGTAAACCTGTCTTCCATTATCCGCAATATGTTCACTTAATCAACCTCCCTTTGTGTAGCTATTGCCACTCAGCCTCTTTCCACCCCTGATATCCTCCTCTCCCTCCATTGTTCTCCACACCCTATGTAGGCTCTGGGTGCCCTGGCCAGGCCATTCTTCTGGGAAGACACTCTTTGCTCCCTGCCTGGGCACCCACACCCGTGCCTACTGCTGTTCCTGTGGACACCGTCCCCCCTCAGTCTCCAACTTGGAGCCACTGATCCCACCTTCTCTGCCCATACCCTGAAGGGTAAGGCTGTCCACCTTCTGTGCTCCCCCAACAGCTTTAGAACTGGACTATCCAGGAAAACACTAGCAATGAAGGGGTTGTGGATGGAAGGAGCAGAAAAGGGAAAGGAAAGGCTGTGTGCAGCTTCTGATATCAACTGAAACCGGCCGGTGACTGTAGCCTTTCTCCCCAATCAACTGATCAATCAACCATCTTTAATCCCATGTTCATTATGTTAAGACAGTTGGCAATTGAGGGTGGAAAACAAAGACACTTCAAGAAAACTTGTTTCCTGCCTTCAAGAAATATCAGGAGAAATGAGATGAAAACTTTTCATCAAAACTAATAACAAATTATGTGCATCTGTTGTTATATAAAATATATGCTCAAAAAAAGTAGATTTAAACCGTGAAAGATAGCTCAGTTGGTAAAGAATCCACCTGCAATGAAGGAGACCCTGGTTCAATAACTGGGCTGGGAAGATCCTCTCAAGAAGGGACAGGCTACCCATTACAGTATTCTTGGGCTTCCCTTGTGGCTCAGCTGGTAAAGAATCTGCCTGCAATGCAGAAGACCTGGATTTGATCCCTGTGTTGGGAAGATCCCCTGGAGAAGGGAAAGGCTACACACTCCAATATTCTGGCCTGGAGAATTCCATGAACTGTATAATCCATGGGGTCACAAAGAGTTGGACATGACGGAGAAACTTTCACTTTCATACATTTTAAGAAATGGGCAAAACACTGTGGAATGATTCTTACCTATGTAACATAACAAACAGCAGTTTTGAAAAAGACCCCACCCACCAGGAATTGTGATGGCCAAGTGTTTAGTCACTGGCTCTCCCTGACTCAGTTGTACACATTCCCCCTAAAGTGCAGGATGGTATCCTAACACTTTTGTAAAGAGATGTTTACAGAGTTCCTCAATAGAATATTAGATTTGGAATATATAAAATAAAACCTGTGATTTATTAAAAAATGTCAGAACTTTAGTCACCATGATAATTCTTATTTTTGATAATTCACTGATAAAACTGTTGAGACATTTTCTTTCTTGATCAGTGCTCTGGAAGAGTAGATGGTACTAACTGGGGGTGGGTGGAGATGGTCCTTTGAGAATCAGATAAGCTGAGCGTACGTATCTGGCCCTCATTAGTGGCCTCGTTCATGTTACACAACATATAACATCACACAGACACTGAGAAAGCTAAACGAATGGGCAGATACCCTAGTCATCCAGCAAGTGCAATAAGTGAAGCCCATCTTTATTTCTGAGTTTTATCACAAAGTAAATCAAGTTCCCTGAAATTCTGGGACACAGCTCTTTGAAGAACAAAGCCTCCCGGTCCTTAGGGGAAGTCAAGCTCCACTTATGGTCTCATCTCTGAGCACAACCTTCAGAACAATGGGTTTTTCCGGTCTTAAAATTCCTTGACTGTTTATTTTCAAGGGGATCTGCAACAGTTAAGAGAACCAATGAATGAAGCACCACCAACAACAGAAGCAAAATAGGCAAGATACATTACAGACAATAGTGCTTTGCAACAATATACAAACTACTTTCAGCATCGTATATCTTTGATTTTTTTTAAACTACCAATTCAATGTGTTTAATAGCTATAGGGACAGACAGGCTGTCAATGTTTCCTTGATTAAACTTTAACAGTTTGTGAATTTCAGAAAATTGGTCTATTTAACTTACACTATAAAATATATGGGCATAAAGTCATTTCTAGTACTCACTATTCACTTTTTAAAATTGTTTTAATTCCTCTTTCACTGAGATATAAATGATTAATGGCAAAAACATTTGACTTAACATATATGTGAAATTACTACCACAATAAGTTTAGTTAACATCCATCAACTCATAAGAGATAGAAAAGGAAAAAATACTGTTTTCCTCTTATGAACACTTTTAGGATCTACTCTCTTCTCCTATATAAAAATGTCAACTCTAATCATCATGTTTTACATGATAGTCCTAGTATTTATTATCTATAAATAGACATTTATACCTTTTGATCATTTTCATCCAATTCCCCTCTTTATCTTTGATTCTCTATACTTTGTAAGTTATGTCAGGACCGGATAGTGAAAGCATTCATTCATCATTCATTGCACAAAATATCGATTGAGCGCTATGCCTATGAAGTATTATGCCTATGAAGCATTATGCCTGTTTTTTAAACATGCCCTGGTTCCCTAGTGCAGTGAAAATGGTGAACTTTTGATGACCTACAGTTTTTTGTCTGAGGTTTTTAGCCCCTTTCTCACCCAGTCACTCCTGTGTTGGGGGAACCAACAGAGTGACCTAACCTCAGTTGACTGAAGGACAAGCAAGGAGTTGTGGAGGGAGAAGCCCCAGTCCATGGGGTACTGGGTGGAGCTTGCAGGGGCATGTGCCCTTCCCAGGGGTGCCCAAGGCCCCCTTTCTCTCAGGTTTGAGTCCCCTGCATGTACACACTTACAGGACACCCACAAGTAAAATGGAAACATCTTTATCCTCCTCTTCCCCGAGAAAGCTACTCAAAGGGAGCAGCTGCTTATTAAATGTATGACTCCTAGAAATAAACCTTATTTTAGGGCCATGCTTGAGATGAATCAATGCCAACTGTCCTGTGTGCTCCTCAGAGAGAGATTTCAGCTCTTTCAATAACTGTAACAAATTGTTATTTTAAAAGTGGGGTTTTTTCCATTTATTTTTATTAGTTGGAGGCTAATTACTTTACAATATTGTAGTGGTAAATTATTATTTTAAACTTTCAAATGGTATGCATTTTCCCTGCAGGTAGACACACAGACACACATAAAACTAGGAAGCACACAAATGACATTTGATAAATTTATAAAATTCAAACTCTCCCGTTATTTGTGTCCAAGAGTTCTAATCAATTGCAAGTCACTTCTTAAACATTTGCCTGATGACGTCAAGGCACCATTGGGTGTTTATGGAAGGAATAAAATGAGGGGACAGAGTTAAAGACCTTCTCAGGTGCAAATGAAACAAAGGAACCAAACTGGCTGGTTCAGGGACAAAGTATTGTTAGGTGGTAGGACCTATGACGCCAGCCTGTGGTGCCTGTAAACACAGCAGAGGGGAGAGTGGGCACTGGCCTGGACGGGCAGGCTGCATGGAGGGGCTCGGGACTGCACTGGAACTCGAAGGGGGAGAACGGACTGGAGGGTGGACAGGAAGGACACACACAGTCATTGTTAGAATGTGAAGGGAGCCCAGCTGGATGGCAGCAGGATCCCTGGCAGGTGAGGGGCTGTGGGAAGCCTTCCCATCTGGCAGAAATGCTTTCACTCAGGGATCACTGTGGCTGCACAGGAGGATCAGTGGGGCTGCTCTCAACGCCACACCCTGGGGAATTATTTTAGAGATGCTGAGATGACCTCGGCATCGGGATATTTCTCCCCAGTAATTTCTTTATACAAACAGTGGCTGAGAATCACTGTCAGGAGAGCTTCTGTAAGTCCCCATGGAGAAGGGCATCACTGAAAAGTCGTAACATGGTCATCACTGCTCTCACGACTTTGTACGACATTTTCCTTCCTTCCAGTGGACATGAAACCAAATTTTAAAAGTTGCTCAAATTCAGCCTTTATTTTCCATGTTTATGAACACATTTGCAATATAAAGCAATGCATGGGAGATACCATCACATTCAAGGTGATATTGTCTCTAGGAAGAGGGGGACAAGAACTGAGGGAGATGTAAAAGGGATACCTTTTGTATGTGTAGTAGTTTTTTACTGTATATATTTTTAAAAGACTTGAAGTTAACATATCAGAATGTCTGGGACTTCCATGGTGGTCCAGTGGTTAAGAATGTCTTGCAATGCAGGGGATGAGGGTTCAATCCCCAGTTGGGGAACTAAGATCCCGCATTCTGGGAAGCAACTAAACCCGCAAGCCACATCTTTCTACGCGCTGCAAAGAAAGATCCTCCATGACTCAATGAAAATCCCACATGCCACAACTAAAACCTGATGCAGCCTAACAAATAAATATTTTTAAAATAAATAAATAAATAAAAGTTGCTCAAATTCACTGACTTCATATAGTCATGTTGTGCTAACTGCCTTGACTGTAGATGACCTTTACAGTTGGGTCTTTATGAAGCCGCAAACTTAGCCCTCCAGAGATGAAAGACAGTTAAAGCTCACAGATGGATTGAGATAGATTCTCTTTCTAGTAAATTAAATTATTATTTGAATAGATCACAACCTTATAGACACAGAGAGATACACCTCAGTTAAAAAATTCTCAGTAAAACATTATTTATGCAAATAACGAACTGCTGACCTGTGTTTCTTTACAAGGTTTGAAGGAGAAGTTCTGCAGGATTCTGACAACAGCAAGTTTCATGTTCATGATGGCAAACCTCATGCCAATGCAATTTCGGGGTCCAGTTCCAAAAGGCAGGTAGACGTAAGGATTTATGCTGTCCTTGTTCTTCTTACTGAACCTGGATCCACAACAGTAGATAAAACAAGTGAATGAAACAGAAAAATCACAGGAGCTCCAGGCGTGAGATTTTAACTTAAACCCTCAACCAGTAGCATAAGGGAGACTCCTGTGGTCGAGTGACTGAATCCTGCTGTGTTGATTCTGCTGTTTGAAAGGTAAGCCCCAGGGCCTTCCCACTCCCCGGACACCACAGGAGCTTTCAGTTCTGGTGAGCTGATGAGATGAAGACTGTTTAAAGAAAATGTATCTTTAAATATGAAATTACCATTCAGGGTGGTGAGATGTTAGGAAATGAGACTGATTGCAGGAAAAGTGAGTTCCTGCCTTCACGAACGCTTATATTGGTCATGTGCTCAGAGAGGAGGAAGCAGGGAACGTCTCTGAATATTTAAATTGTTAGTTTTCTATTGTTTTCCCCTTCCTTGCTCTTGTGTGGGTATGTCTCTCTCTCCCTCACACAGAGGATGCTGAAGTCAGTAGATTTATGAGGGCATATGACTCAACTCAACTCTGGTTCAATCACTGATTTCCTTGTCTGTTCCACAAACTGATAAAGTCCTTGATGGCTAGACCTCTGCTTTATTCAAATTTGACTCTTCAAATTTGGATTTGGAGAAGTGATAATGGCACTGTGGTTGTATATATTTTCAGTTCAGTTCAGTTCAGTCACTCATTCGTGTCCGACTCTTTGCGATCCCATGAACCGCAGCACACCAGGCCTCCCATCCATCACCAACTCCCGGAGTCCACCCAAACCCATGTCCACCGAGTCAGTGATGCCATCTAACCATCTTGTCATCCGTCATCCCCTTCTCCTCCTGCCCTCAATCTTTCCCAGCATCAGGATCTTTTCCAATGAGTCAACTCTTCGCATCAGGTGGCCAAAGTTTTGGAGTTTCAGCTTCAGCATCAGTCCTTCTAATGAACACCCAGGACTGATCTCCTATAGGATGGACCTGTTGGATCTACTTGCAGTCCAAGGGACTCTCAAGAGTCTTCTCCAACACCACAGTTCAAAAGCATCAATTCTTTAGCACTCAGCTTTCTTTATAGTCCAGCTCTCACATCCATACATGACCACTGGAAAAACCATAGCCTTGACTAGATGGACCTTTGTTGACAATGTCTCTGCTTTTCAATATGCTGTCTATGTTGGTCATAACTTTCCTTCTAAGGAGTAAGCGTCTTTTAATTTCATAGCTGCAATCACCATCTGCAGTGATTTTGGAGCCCAGAAATATAAAGTCATCCACTGTTTCCCCGTCTATTTCCCATGAAGTGATGGGACCAGATGCCATGATCTTAGTTTTCTGAATGTTGAGCTTTAAGCCAACTTTTTCACTCTCCTCTTTCACTTTCATCAAGAGGCTTTTNCTAGCTTTGTTGGTAGTGATGCTTCCTAAGGCCCACTTGACTTCACATTCCAGGATGTCTGGCTCTAGGTGAGTGATCACACCATTGTAATTATCTGGGTCAGGAAGATCTTTTTTGTACAGTTCTTCTGTGTATTCTTGCCACCTCTTCTTAATATCTTCTGTTTCTGTTAGGTCCCTACCATTTCTGTCCTTTATTGAGCCCATCTTTGCATGAAATGTTCCCTTGGTATCTCTAATTTTCTTGAAGAAATCTCTAGTCTTTCCCATTCTATTGTTTTCCTCTATTTCCTTCAATCAATCGCTGAGGAAGGCTTTCTTTGCTCCTTGCTATTCTTTGGAACTCTGCATTCAAATGGGTATATCTTTTCTTTTCTCCTTTGATTTTCACTTCCTTTCTGTTCACAGCTATTTGTATATATTTTGAAGAGTCCATATTATAAAAAATATTCTGGAAGAATATTCTGTAAGAATACATTAAACATGATTCATAAAACTTGTGCCTATAAACTATACTGTGTATATGTCAAAAACTCTTTATAATCTGCTTTAACATTTGGACTTCTCACTCCCTCGACCAGACCCTGAAACAGACAGGTGAGCACTAGTTCTGTGCTCGACGGCTGAGTGGTTTTAGGTTTCTGACGCTGCAGGAGGGGAAGTTGCTGAGCTTGAGGCAGACAGTGAGGTTCCCTGGTCCAGACTCTGACTCTTCTTTCAGCAGTGGTATGGGTACAGGTCCTGCTAGCGCTAGAGACACTAGGGTGAACAAGACACAGTCCCTGCCATCACAGAGCTTACAGTCAGGGGCTCATAAAATGCTAGATCCCAGATAGTACCTAAAATGTTCAATCCAAATTTTTCTCATCATAAAATAAATGGGAGAGCATCAACTCTCTCCAGAGTCCAATGTGTCCAAACCAGACCCTGACTCTGAATTCCCAGAAGACAAAGCTTCACCTCTCCAAGGCAGGTGTCTAGATGACTAGACAGCAGAGGACTTCTCTTTGGAAGGTCAAAAAACATGGAGGCAAAAGGGAGCTGGCCTAGGTCTACAGCCACAGACGGAACCAGGCCACCTATGTCTCCTCCATCCTCACCGAGGCTGCTGGAACCACCTGGGATGACTACAGCCCCACAATAATAATAGAGGGAACAGCAGCCAATGTTTAAAGAAATGGAAATGTGGGAATATTAGTGATGAATTCAAAGAGCTAAAGAACAGACAGGAAGACTTAAAGGAAATAGAAACCAATACACTTAAAATAATATAGCTGTGGAATATTACTCAGCCATTAAAAAGAATTAATTTGAATCAGTTCTAATGAGATGGATGAAACTGGAGCCCATTATACGGAGTGAAGTAAGCCAGAAAGATAAAGAACATTACAGCATACTAACACATATATATGGAATTTAGAAAAATGGTAATGATAACCCTATATGCAAAACAGAAAAAGAGACACAGATATACAGAACAGACTTTTGGACTCTGTGGGAGAAGGCAAGGGTGGGATGTTTTGAGAGAACAGCATCGAAACATGTATATTATCTATGGCAAACAGATCACCAGCCCAGGTTGAATGCATGAGACAAGTGCTCGGGCCTGGTGCACTGGGAAGACCCAGAGGGATCGGGTAGAGAGGGAGGTGGGAGGGGGGATCGGGATGGGGAATACATGTAACTCCATGGCTGATTCATGTCAATGTATGACAAAAACCACTACAATATTGTAAAGTAATTAGCTTCCAACTAATAAAAATAAATGAAAAAAAATAATATAGCTTAAGTAAATTATAGCAGGTGCAACAATTATATATATATATAAAACACAGAATTCCATTTATACTTTACTGTTAAATACAGTAAGCAATTGAAAAATAAACTATACATAATGCCATTCTAAGTTTTAAGAATCTGTATATGCATAGAGAAATGTCCACAGGACTTACATTGCACTATTAATGAGGCCTATCTTAAGGCATTGGACTTCCCTGATGGCTCAGTGGTAAAGTATCCACCTGCCAATGCAGAAGACATGGGTTCGATCCCTGGGTCGGGAACATCCCCTGGAGAAGCAAATAGCAACCCACTCCAGTCTTCTTGCCTGGAAAATCCCATGGACAGAGGAGACTGGTGGGACACAGTCCATGAGGTCACAAAGAGTTGGAAATGACTTAGTGACTAAACAACAAAAAAGCTTAAGGTTTTAGGAATGCACACAACTATAATTTTCTGTTTTTTGGTTTTTTTTAGTCTATTGTTGGTAAAATTTTTTATTCAAATAATATCATTCTTGGCAAAAGTAAAGACATTTAACAATAAAAGATGTAAAATAAAATGATTGTACAGTCACATAAGGGTTGTCGGAACATGCTCTGAGCAACTAGATCAGAGAGGGTCCCCTTCCCTCGGGTCTTGTACCTTTCAGGACGGAACTCCTCAGGCTCTGGCCAGAACTCTGGGTCTCTGTGAAGCACGGAGACTGGCACTGTCGCTGTTGTCCCTTTGGGAATGGACACTCCATGGATTTCCACATCCTTCTTACAGAACCTATCAATTCTAACAGCAATTGGGTACATTCTGAGAGTCTCATTCACCACCATGTCAAGATACTCCATCTGTGCCAGGACATCGTAGGTTGGAGGCGCCTGGGAAGAAAGAAAGAGATTTTGATAAATTAAGATAGCAGATCAACCTTCAACTCCATCTATGTAGACCTACTGGAATGTTAGGCGCTCCAGGGACTAATTTAAATTGGTAAAGGACCTTTGCATTTATAGACATTACCATGATGTCCTTTGACCTCTCAATGCCCATTGAGATGTATGTGGTGGTGACCAAGTAGTCACGATAATAGAAGAAAATTGGGGCAATCGTCTAAACAGTGTGAAACACCACAGGTTATCAGCGAGTGTATTTTCTCTCTCATGAGAACAAACATGACCAACAGACTAGGACCCTTACTCTTAAGTGAAAGTCCAAAGTCAAATTTTCTTTTTAAAAGTGAGCCTACACATCTGTACCAAGGAAAGAACGTGTAAAAGAGCAAATCCCCTATTCTTAGTTGAAGACTCCTGACGGCTCATTCTCTTCATTATACATGTATAGTCTGGAAACAATATATGAAAGCTCTATAAATAATTTGGGGAGAAACAAGTTCCTTTCTAAACCAAATCTGCAAATGACGAGTAAGATTGGGAACACAATTTTAGATGCAGGGAAGTTACAAGAGGATCAGAACCCCAACCCCTGCTGCTAGAAGAGTCTCTTATTATCCCTACAGCTGTGACCCTAAGGTCTGAAGGTCTAAACCAGCCATTGCAGCCCCAGGGGCCAGGTCTCCGCACACCACAAAGAACTCCAGTGTTGGATGAGATCTGAGACCACTGGGGGGTGATACATGGCTGTCACGTGGGGTTGTAGTCAAGGAGCAACATTGTAGAGGGTAAGAGTGGCTCAGGATCCAACACCCTGGATCACAGCTTGACTTGATCACCACCATGTACACAACTAGTGTCTGGAAGTATTTCATCTCCCTGTAGCTCAGGTTTCTCATATGTCACATGGAGACAGATGGAGATGACCCTGCAGAGGGTTGTGTGGCAGAGACACTCACTGCTCACCCAGCACCCATGTAGGCCCCATATATCCCAGCCCACTTGAGGTTATGGCCAAATCACCCTTGCCAACAGGCTGTGAACTTGGGTGATTATGTCAGTTCAGAGACAAATCAATTGAAAACCCAGTAAGCAGCTCTTGAGTTCCTTATTCCACAGCAGAAAAGAAGGCCTCATGTTCCAGATAAGGCAATTATCAGATGGTGAAGGCTCTGAGCCAGTTTTCCTGGGTGACTCTGTGAAGCAGAGCTGTCCACTCCATCCTCCACTAACAATCCATGTTCAGCGTGTACACGTGGGTGATGGAAAACTTTGCTATGAAAGCCCCTGAGATCCCAGGGCTTGTCTGTTACTGAGGTGTAAGCTAGCCTCTCCTGACTAATAAAGAATTTCTTGAAAATGAAACATATTTATAAATAGAAAGTATTTAGACCAGACATACAAAGTAAGAATCACATATCAGCCGATGGTACTAGTATTATAAGTATTCTTATAAAAAGGAGAGAATGCAATGCCTTAGCTAGCCTCGGTCTGTTAGTTGACCTTTCAATTTTTTTGTAATCAAAAGAATCCCAATATGGGATTTACCAGGGAAGAAATATCATCTCTAATTTATGCAGGCCCTACAAAGTATTTGAAGGACCTAGGATTCTGAAAGGTCATAAGACTTGTCCAAAACCAGTCAGGTCTCACACTCATGTCCTCTGTTTCCTACCGTATATCCTTTCTTGTACACCAGGCTCCACCTAGGCTATAGTTTACTCAGGGCAGTAGACTGAATTAATGGTCCCAATTCTCCACCATTTCCTCTGTCCATTCCCTTTGCCATTAACTCTGTGGTGCCCTCCCGTTCTGACTCAGGTTGGTCAGGTGGCTCACTTTGAACCTGTGGAATACTCCCTAAGTGTAATGCTAGCAGAGTTTTGAAAGTCACCCACTGGATTAGGCCTCTTGCTCATAACATCTACCACTGCCCTGAGAAGCAGACATGTGGAGAGTGAGACATGTGAGGAGCAAAACATGTGGAGTTGAGTCAGTCCAACCACTTATCTAAGGCCAGCCTAGATCAGCCAACACCCAGACCACAGCAAGTTCAGCCAATATCAATAGATAAATATGCAGACACCATGAACTTGGGCAAACTCTGGGAGATAGTGAGGAACAGGGAGGCCTGGCGTGCTATAGTCCATGGAGTCACAAAGAGTCCAAAATGACTTAGCGACAGAACAACAACAAACATAGACACCAGAGAAATAAGTGCTTACTGTTAGTTTGGATTCTTTTCTACTGCACCACCTGGGAATGGACGTAAATGATTTGATGCTTATGCTTGGGCAAAAACCTCCTGAGTAGTGGAGAGAAGACAATCATGCTAAGGCTTCACCTTGCCCCTCTCTCTCCGGGTATCATCACTCACCTTATTGGGGAAAGTTGCATCAATTTCCTCCTGCAGCTTCTGCTGGACATCAGGGTGAGTGGCCAATTCATATACAATGAAGGAAAGAGTAGTGCTAGTGGTCTCATAGCCACCAAAAATAAAGATAATACTTTGGGCCACGAGTTCTTGGTCAGAGAGAGCTAAAAAGAAAGTCAACACATTTTGGGTAAAGCATAGCAATGTAAAAATCATAGTTTAGATGATGAGACATTCCAGTGAAACTCCCAAACCCCTAGGGGAAATCAGGTAAAAGTAATTTAGATTCAAACTGAGAGTGATTTCTACTCTGTGTCTGTCTCACAGAGCCCAGAAAAAGCCAAGAACTGTCTTAATTGAGTTTTTCACAGGTCTATACTATTCTTGGCTCTCTGTTCCTGGCAATTCCACGCCCCCTCCAACACAGCTCGGTATTTCAAGTGATAGCACTTCTAACATTTACAGTGTTATCAGTGTGTCCCTTAGAGAACTGTAAAAGAACTTTAGCTCCAAGTAAAATGGAGTAGCATTCTCTTCTAGAATATTTTAAATTATCCTAGTTAAGGTGTAGCTTGATTTAAGAGATTTATGATACTAAGGCTATATGATAGGGGAAATTGAATTATATTTTATCAAAACATTTCCAGGAACACAAGAGTACAATACTGGGCTACACAGGTTGGATGCATGAGACAAGTGCTCGGGCCTGGTGCACTGGGAAGACCCAGAGGGATCGGGTAAAGAGGGAGATGGGAGGGGGGATCGGGATGGGGAATACATGTAAATCCATGGCTGATTCATGTCAATGTATGACAAAAACCACTACAATGTTGAATAGCACTGAAGCAAGTATACTATCACGTGTGAAACAGATCACCAGCCCAGGTTGGATGCATGAGACAAGTGCTCGGGCCTGGTGCATTGGAAAGACCCAGAGGGATCGGGTAAAGAGGGAGATGGGAGGGGGGATCGGGATGGGGAATACATGTAAATCCATGGCTGATTCATGTCAATGAATGACAAAAACCACTACAATATTGTAAGGTAATTAGCGACCAACTAATAAAAATAAATGGGAAAAAAAAAAAGGACTGAAATGTTTTTGGCATCCCCACACAACAACTTGGAACATCTTTGCTTTACAAAGATGTCCATCAGACTCTAACTTTGAATGTGAATAATCTATTTCTATTGGTAGTGATAAGCTATAGCTTATGAGTAATATATCTTATGATATTTTAATTAATATTTTTCCATAATATCTCTAAGAGCATGATTCATTACTTTTAACTTATCTTCTTTGATTAAATGACTGTAATTGAACCAAGATTATGGAAAACATGTATGTAAGGAAAGGAGTGGCTTTTGTGTAAAAATAGTTTTATACTTCCCAGAAATTTTATACCTCAGGCCAGGCCCAGATATAAGAATTTTAGATGCTACCATGATTATTGGGTTCGCTATATAGTTCCAGAATTTCAGTTCAGGTCTGCAAGTGTATGTCGACAGATAACATCTATATAATCACTTTATAAGCAAACAAAAACTTCATATTTTTAAATGTGAATAATTTATATTTTTTAAAATATATGGAGTACTGTTATTCACTAGGTCACTGGATAAACTGCTAAATAGTTTTTTGCTAGAAAAAGAGTTAAAGCAGTTACACAAATAGATTAGATAAATAGATTGATCAGCAGATGGATAGATAGAGAAAAGTAGGGATAAAAAAGTATGGATAGACAGATCAGAGTTGACATTTTATACTCACATGAGAAAAGAAAATTACATGACTTACTGCATTTAAAAAAACTTTTTTCTCTTTTATCATTGATATCTTAAGACATTGCTACAAGATTAAGAATAGAATGCACTAAAGGCTTGGCTCTGCAGTAATCAGAATTGCCAGACTTACTGAGTTTAGGGATTAGAAAGAAAATATACAAAGTAAAGTGCAGAAATTATAAGACTTTTTTTTAAATCAGAGGCTAATTACAAATAGCATATTAAAAAGCAGAGACTTTACTTTGCCAACAAAGGTTCATCTAGTCAAGGCTATGGTTTTTCCAGTGGTCATGTATGGATGTGAGAGTTGGACTGTGAAGAAAGCTGAGCACCGAAAAATTGATGCTTTTGAACTGTGGTGTTGGAGAAGACTCTTGAGAGTCCCTTGGACTGCAAGGAGATCCAACCAGTCCATCCTGAAGGAGATCAGTCCAGGTGTTCATTGGAAGGACTGATGCTGAAGCTAAAACTCCAATCCTTTGGCCACCTCATGCGAAGAGTTGACTCATTGGAAAAGACCCTGATGCTGGGAGGGATTGGGGGCAGGAGGATAAGGGGACAACAGAGGATGAGATGGCTGGATGGTATCACCGACTCGATGGGCATGAGTTTGAGTAAACTCCGGGAGTTGATGATGGACAGGGAGGCCTGGCGTGCTGTGATTCATGGGGTTGCAAAGAGTCAGACACAACTGAGCGACTGAACTGACTGACTGACGGTTATATTTAGTGTAAAAAGTAATAGTTTTGAACTAAAGTTGCAGATATTTTGTAGTTCATTTGAGATACCGATTGCGATTAAGTTACAGTTTTTGATGTCTTTGTGTTGATGTGATAGGTAACGTGGATGCTGTTTGACTTTGTCATTGTTAGAATTATATCAGTTAGGAATACGTGTTCAAATTTTGGTCAGAATTAGTTTCTGCTTTTTGCAACCAAAGAACTTCATACAGTTTGCTCCTTATCTGTCTCTGAATTATCCTTGGCTTTACTATCCATTCCTCAGCCAATTGTAAGTTTCTTGGGGGAAATATTTGACTTCCTGGAAAATATATCATATTTATGTGTTTGTGTAGGGGAAAAAGCTGTATTCTTTTGGGAAATTAACTTAGCATTGACTTCTTTTCTGAGTCACAATGTTCAATTTATTAAAATAAATAGTGATAGTAGGGCAGTTGTGGTATGTTTTTTATATAAAATATGGTTTTAAAAGACTGAGACTACTAGAATTTTACTGTTTAAGTCTTTACAAATTTATTTTCCTATAAGCTAAAATACAAAATCCTTGTGTGCTCAGTCCTGTCCAACTCTGTGATCCCATGGAAAGTAGCCCGCCAGGCCCCTCTTTCCTTGCTATTTTCCAGGCAAGATTACAGGAGTGAGTTGCCATTTCCTGGTCCAGGGATCTTCCCAACCCAGGGATGGAACTTACATCTCTTGTGCCACATGCAGTGTCAGGCAGATTCTTTACCACTGCGCCAACTGGAAAGCCCTTGTAAAATCCTTACCATAGCTTATAAAATCCTTCATTTAACCATTACCTAATTTCTTTGCATTCTCTGTTGTCCCCTCCTTGGAAAGCTCAGTAAGAAGTTACATTCATTTACCATGTCATCTTGCCTTACGCCTTTGCTCAGTATATTTATTCTAGCTAAAAAGCCCACTCCTTTCTAAATTAAAGAAAAAAATGTGTATATGTGTTTATATATACTTCTGTGTATATTCATATATAGACAGTTTTAAAAAGCTGCATTTGAATGAATAAAGGTTAAAAATTGCCATATTCTCTAAGATGGCTTACTAGATCACCTGCTATCAGGAATCAGAAATAAATATATGGACTTTTGTAGTGGGAGAATATGGACCAATAATGAGATTAGTGCTCCCTTTACATATGTAAGACTGTGCTTCAAGTTTTTAAAGTGTCTCACTCCTTTTTGACTTTGAGTTCCCTTATAAATTATTTTTCTCAGCTTAACAGTTAAGAAATGCTGTTTAAAATCATTTTTTGCTTCCTCATGTGCAGGTTTCATGCCACATAAGATTTTGTTTCAGAAAGGGATAGTGACTTTTTTGTATTCTTCTTTAGTTATTATTTTTACTTGGAATTATTCATTTACTTTATTTTCTTCTTTCATTTTTCCTTTTTTTGTGCTTATTTTCCATTCAACTTAATTATAGTATGTATTAAAGTTCTGGATTTCATTTAAGTACGTTTGAGTTACTTGTTAAAAATATGTGTTCCATCTGCTCTATTGGCTTCCAAGCTTGTTTAGTATATTTTTAATGTTTCTATAATAGCTCTTCCTTTCTAACAGAAAAAAGGAAAAGAGCAGACCTTAATATCCTCCTATAACTTAAGAAGGCAAAACAGTCTGCCTTTTTGGTACTGGATGCCAGCCGTCTCTGTGGAGATTTGGAAGGGAGAAGTGCTCCCTTCCAACTCTCTCTGAACATGCATACATCCTTAGAGAATCACAAGCATGCTGCCACAGCCATTCTCCAGTCTGAATGGCAGTTGAGAAAGAATTTTCTATGACTCCAAGTTACAGCATTAAAAAAAAAAAATCAGTCCCAAGATTGAGTGGTATGAGGGCAGGTCAGGTGGAGCACCATACAACCAGCTCCATCTCTCTTCAGCTGCTCCAGGCTGAACAACATGGCCAGGATACACTGTAGGCAGCATCCACCTTGTGTTACAGGGAAGACCTGTCCTCTGAGTCAGAAAATATGTCCAAGAGCTTTGGATTTATCAGAATGAAAACTCACACTGCGCAACTGAGTTAGAAAATGATACCTACTTGATGCAAAAAAAAAAAAAAGGTATTTCTGTTTTCATAAAAATGAAAGGCAAACTCAGAAGAGGAGTCCATAATTGCAAATCTACTGTGTCAGTTAGAGCTGAAAACACTGGCTGACTCATGAAGTGATTATTTTATTCTGACAGTGGATCCACAGTCGTTGTATATATTTCAGACATTTGTCATGCTCTTCAGTTATTATCCTGTCAATGTACTCAGCACATTATAAACAAATGAGCATCAGGAAAGCAATTAGAAATTTAGTATGTGTTATTCTGTGTTGTCCTTTGTTTTCATTTCTTTTTTATTTGTTTATATGGTAAAATAAGTGCATAGCCTCTCAAATGCTGATCTACTCCACAAATGATGTTAGTAGTAGATTTCTCTTTGAGGTAGTACCACTGTTTTTGGTAGTTTTATTTTAGCATTTTTTTTTTTTTTTTTCTGATCACTTTGACTTGTGCGGCAATATATATGTGTCTGGGCAGGTGCTCACACTCCCTCATTCATTGGCAGGGCAAATGGAGATGGAGATTTAACATCAGGGTTTTAAAGAAGGAAAAGAGTAGTCTTTAATGGGGAAAGGAGACAAAAACATGTTTTCTTTTAAAGTGACACAATTCTTTGTCCCCATTTCCTTATTTCTTATCCCTGGCCTTGAGACAGGATCATTTTGGAGTGTATATTTCTTTCAAAATGGAAATGCTTAAGGCCACTTAACCTGGTTACAGGCCCCGAGATTAAGTGTGGGTTTGGGGGCTCTGCACAGACTGGTCTCCAGGCAGCATTTAACCAAGTGAGCACTTAACCATCCCCTACACTAGCAGTTGACCCTCTCCTGGTGAGCCCTGCCAACTCCCTGTTCCTGTCACCATCAATGATTCCCATTGTTCCAATTCCTCCAGGCTGATGAATCAAAAGCCGAGGCTTATTTCTCATTGTAGGTTTTTCTTTAAGAAACTTTTAGAGATGTGAGCTGAGCTATAGTATCTTACATAGTTGTGTTTTAACACCAAAATCCCAAATAATCTGATAGCCAGGTCTTTAGGATCAGTTCAGTATGTTTATTCAACACTATATTCTAAATAAACATGATATTAATCATTACTATTG